ACAGGTCTTGGGAACAGCACTTAAAGGGATCAACACATAACTTGCTGGGAATGCAACCAAAGCCTTTCAAACCTGCAAGGTGCGATATAAAGAAACTCAGTTTAAACAAGCCACCAAGCAATTGAAGAGAAATATAGCACTGATGATCTCTATTTGAAGTGCTAACTCACCCATGTACTCGGCGCTGAAACAACGATTAAATCCAGAAGCACAAGTCACCACCGTTGCGCAGACAACACCTGGATCACATCTGTAGCATTTCAACCCATAGGCTATACAGAAATGGAGAAAAGTGGCAAACATTGTTCAGGATACACATAATGTAATGCTCTTTTTATCACCATCCTCCAAAAATCACAATAAAAATGTATTTTGGTTCCAATACTTTTGCTTAGTTGCAATTTCTGAAAATAGGTCTATTAAATCAAAGTATGGATGCACAACTAAATATTTTTAAATCTGATAAAAATACATGCCTTTAAATTCATTATAAAAGAATGTGCCATATCAAACTACTGCGACATAATTCCAGGTCACCATCATGATAACTTAGAAAAAACTTACATTTCTTTGTGTTTCAACATGAAGCCAATATATCAGTTGTTTTTACCTGCAGACAGTGTCATGAAGAGGATCAGAGCTCCATAAAAATGCATCTTGAACAGAGAGGAAATCAAACCTTAAATAACCCGTGTAGGAGAAAAACTGGATGGAAAATGACAACCCCGTCAATGCTCTTCCAATTTATAGTCCTTCAAACATGAACACTTATTTCCCTCACTAGCCTCCTCCCAAAGTGATCACATCACCCCAGAGACAGCCATGCACCAAACCGGTTTCTGTTTGTTTCCGTTAGACCAGGGGTGGGCATTTTACGGCCCGCGGGCCACATCCGGCCCGTTGGCCGGCCTTGGTCGGCCCGTGTGAGGTTGATCATAAATTATAACATAATGAAAAAAAACAGCAACCTTTTCAAAATAAAAGCAACACAGCTGTATTGCTTGCATGGCGTAAATACTTTTCTAACTGTGTTGCTTTTATTTTGAAAAGGGCGCTGCTGTTTTTTAAATTTATTTACGTAAACGCGCATGCTGTGAACAGCTACGAGTGATGCTGGCCGGCTAGTCCTCGAAATGTCCGCTAAGGGCAAAAAAAGAAAGATCGATACTGAATGCCGCGTTTTCAACAAGACATGGACCGCTAAGTATTTATTTACAGAAGTGAAAGGTAAAGCTGTGTGTTTAGTTTGTGGTGCGCAGGTCGCTGTGTTCAAGGAGTACAATTTGAGTCGCCACTATGCTACCAAACACGCAGACAAATACAAGAACCTGTCTGAGGAAGAGCGGGCAAAGGGGTCGGATGCTTTGCTAGCTAAGCTGCAAAGTCAACAACACATTTTCACAAAACATTCCACATCCAGAGATGCAGCTGTCAAGACGAGTTATGTCTTAAAAGTAAACCGTTTTCGGACGGAGAGTTCATTAAGGAGTGTTTGTTGGACTCTGCCGCACTAAAACCCAGAGTGAGGATGTTGTGAGTGCGCCGCCGCCGACTCCGAAGCAGCAACAATTCGAATTTGGAGGACCGGTAACCAAAGCAGAGATGGACAGGCTTGTAGCATCCTTCATAGTAGAGGAAATGTTGCCCATTTGCACAGTGGAATCACCATCGCATCGTTCAGAGATATCAGAGGTGGGGACTCGAGTCACATGACTTGACTCGAGTCAGACTCGAGTCGCATATTTTTGGACTTGAGACTTGCTTGACTAACATTGATAAAAGACTTGACTTGACTTTGACTTGGTATTCATGACTTGAGACTTGACTTAAGCTTGAGACAGATGACTTGAAAGGACTTGACTTTTTAAAATTAAATATTTGCGTTTGTTTTTGTATTGAGATATTACGTTTAGTTTTTTCAAAATGTGATTGGGTGATTATAGCGCTGTTACGTGCCAGGCAGGCTGTACTTGTGTGGTTCTCCTTCCTTCCTGCTTTTCTCTCTTCTCCCTGTCTTCTGCACAGCTAATCAGCAGCTGATCAGGACCTGCCTGTGCACCAGAGTCTGATGGCTGATTGGATCCTCTCACCCTAAGCTGGCCTATCAGCAGCCAGGGCCGACCATAAAGGAGGCACCCAGGAAGTCTTCTCGCTCTCTCACTCTGGGTAGATTGCTGATGGAGGAGCCTGCAATTTACTGCCTTGCAACGACAATATTTCTCTTTGTTTTGTATGACCTATATTGAAAGTGTGTGTGTTGAGAGGTGGAGGAGTTAGGTAAGTCTGGGGTACCCTGTACACTTCTCATCACGTAGTTAACTAATGTTAAGACACTAGGTTAGCGGATTGTTGCCACCCCTGTATTCTGTTTGGTCCAATTCTGAGTAGTTTAGGTAGTGAGGGTTTTTGTTTGAGTTTTGGTTTCAAAGGATAGACGTAGAGATAGGCCTGGTTGTTATGCTTGTTTCTTTTACTGCCCCGGTCATCACCAAGGCACTTCTGAAGTTTTTCTCCATGTTTGGTCTACCGAAGGTAGTTCAAACAGACCAAGGTACCAACTTCATGTCTAAAGTGTTTGCCCGGGTACTTGACACTTTAGGTATCAAGCATGTGACATCCAGCCCATATCATCCTGAAAGTCAGGGGGCATTAGAGAGGTTTCACCAGACTATGAAATGCATGTTAAGAAAACATTGCCACGAGTCTCAAAAAGATTGGGATGACGGTGTTCCTTTTGTGTTATTTGCTGCCCGTGAAGCTGTTCAGGAGTCTCTAGGTTTTAGTCCTGCTGAGCTAGTGTTTGGACATGAGGTCAGAGGTCCTTTAAGAGTTCTTAAAGAGCATTTGATCATGCCAACGAAAAAAGTTTGCAGTATTCCGGAGTATGTCGCCAAACTAAGGGATCGTCTACATCGTGCTTGCTCCTTGGCTAGAGAAGCTCTGACCTCTACTCAAGGGAAGATGAAGAAACGCTACGACCAGAAGGCGGTAGCGCGCTTGTTTCAGCCAGGTGACAAGGTGTTGGTTCTACTGCCTGTACCTGGTTCTGCTCTGTCTACTAAATTTTCTGGTCCTTATGTTGTAGATAAAAAGCTCGGTGAAACAAATTACGTCATTCAAACACCTGACCGCAGACGTCCTACCAGAGTGTGTCATATCAACATGCTGAAGGAGTACTGCACCAGGGATGACCAAAATGAATCTTCCAAAGCTCACCAGGTGGAGACAACCGTCTCTCCTATGGCTTCAGTTTCAAGGGTGAGCTCAAATGAGGATGAGGATGAGTTGGTGATGCGTAGTGCAACACCACAGGGGGCAAGACTAAGCAATACTGAGGTATTGGCTGATTTGCCCAATTACTTGTCTCATCTTCCTGATAACCAAGAAAGTGATATACAGAAACTGATATTCGACTTTGCATGTCTTTTTAATGACACTCCCTCACAAACATCTGTCCTAGCTCATGATGTGGTCTTGACCAACCCTAGGCCCATCAAACAGCGTGCGTACAGGGTTAACCCAGTTAAGAGAGAGATTATGAAAAAGGAAGTTGAGTATCTACTTGAAAACGGATTTGCAAGGCCTAGTTCCAGTCCCTGGAGTTCCCCTTGTGTGCTAGACACAAAGTCAGATGGAAGTCCCAGATTCTGCACTGACTTTCGCAAGGTTAATGCTGTCACTGTCCCCGATGCACACCCGTTACTGCTCATTGATGACTGCATCGATGAAATTGGTCCTGCACAATTTGTCAGTAAGCTGGACATGTTAAAGGGATACTGGCAAGTTCCTTTAACACAGCGTGCTTCTGATATTTCAGCCTTTGTGACACCTGACAGTTTCCTTCAGTACACTGTGATGCCTTTCGGTATGTGTAATGCACCTGCCACCTTTCAGAGGCTTGTAAATCTTGTATTAGGACATGTTTCAAACTGTAAGGCATATCTGGACGACATTGTTGTCTATTCTAATGACTGGGCTAGCCACATGTCTACCATAAGAGAAGTTTTTAAGTGCTTGTTGGCCGCATCCTTAACGTTAAACCTTGCCAAATGTGAGTTTGGAAAAGGTACCGTTCTCTACCTTGGTCAGCAGGTTGGTCGAGGATAGATAGATGGATGGATAGATAGATGGATAGATAGATAGATGGATAGATAGATGGATAGATAGATGGATAGATAGATGGATATATAGATAGATAGATAGATAGATAGATGGATAGATAGATAGATGGATGGATGGATATATAGATAGATAGATAGATAGATGGATAGATAGATAGATAGATAGATAGATAGATAGATAGATGGATAGATAGATAGATAGATAGATAGATGGATAGATAGATAGATAGAGAGATACATAGATGGATAGATAGATAGATGGATAGATAGATGGAAAGATAGATAGATAGATAGATAGATGGATAGATTTAAAATATTGAAGTTAAAAGCATCAATCTGGTGCACTTTGAGAGCAAAATTAGGAGATATATGGATACATCTCTCAACACCCATATGAAACAGAACAGTAAGCAGATTTTCTTTTTCTTTATGGATATTTTACAAATCACTCCCCTTTCAAACTGTATTCTTGTTTATTAATAACAACTTTGTTGTACTGTTATATAGTATTTTATACCTGTTTTTCATATATTCTCTTATTTCTTTATAACTATAATGATCATATAAAGATGCCTGTACCTCACTGAGCTGAGGTTATCAGAGCCTCTCAGTCTTTCAGGAGAGAGCTCTCTCCCCCCCCCCCCCCCCCCCCCCCCCCGCGGCCCCTTACACAGTAAATGCCAATGTTAATAAAAGCACACAGAAGCTGTATACGTTTTTTGGGAGTTTGATTTATTTTAAATTAACACAAATACAAAATTAAAACCTATAATTGCACTCTAAAAACCATTATTTCAACAACAAAAAAGGGCGCTGTACGCAATATAGGCGTAGTTCTGTTAGTATAGATGAATACCTTATAGAGAAGTTCAGCAAATGTTTTCTGTCTTTTTATTAATGCTTGTGTTGACCTGTTGATCAAAAGTAACTCACAGTCCAAACATTTTAGTCCGCTGATCTGCTCATTAATCCTGAGCAATTTAATTTATTAATTTCCTCAATATTGTTAATGTTTTATGTCCTGTTTTGTCACCCATGTTTCTTATTATGGCTTCATGACAAAACTGCCGTTGCTGTACATAGTAATGTGAAATGCAGAACAAATCAATTAAACAATTACATAATCATTCATAATGTTGTCTTTTATTGAACAAATGTTGAGATGCATTAGGCGCTATACAAATGTCATCTATTATTATTATTATTATTATTATTCATTTACAGCTTTTATACGTCCGGAAATGTATTTATTCTTCTAGGGTTCCAAAAAAAGAAGACACATTTTGTTAAGCTGTAGCTGCTCCGGAGCCTCAGAGAAAGACGGTGATGATGGCCGAGGAGAGCAGCAGGAGGAGCGGACTGCTGCCGGCGGGCATGGCGCTGTTACACAGGTCGTAGAAACAGCACTTAATGGGTTCAACACATAACTCGCTGGTCATGCAACTCTTGGTTTTCAAACCTGCAAGGTGCGATATAAAGAAACTCAGTTTAAACAAGCCACCAAGCATTTGAAGAGAAATATAGCACTGATGATCTATTTGAAGTGCTAACTCACCCAAGAACTCGACGCTGGAACAACGGTTCAATCCGGAAGGACAAGTCTTCACCGCTGAGCAGCCGATACCTCCAACACATGTGTGGCATTTCAACCCATAGGCTATACAGAAATTGAGAAAAGTGCCAAACATTGTTCAGGAAACACATAATGTAATGCTCTTTTTATCACCATAAAAATGTATTTTGCCTCCAATACTTTTGCTTAGTTGCAGTTTCTGAAAATAGGTCTATTAAATCAAAGTATGGATGCACAACTAAATATTTTTAAGAAAGCAATTTTAAATCCGATACAAATATATGCTTTCAAATTCATAATCAAAGAATGTGCCAAATCAAACTACTGCGACATAATTCCAGGTCACCATCATGATAACTTAGAAAAAACTTACATTTCTTTGTGTTTCAACATGAAGCCAATATATCAGTTGTTTTTACCTGCAGACAGTGTCATGAAGAGGATCAGAGCTCCATAAAAATGCATCTTGAACAGAGAGGAAATCACACCTTAAATAACCCGTGTAGGAGAAAAACTGGAGGGAAAATGACAACTCCGTCAATGCTCTTCCAATTTATAGTCCTTCAAACATGAAAACTTATTTCCCTCACTAGCCTCCTCCCAAAGTGATCACATTACCCCAGAGACAGCCATGCACCAAACCGGTTTCTGTTTGTTTCTGTTATACTATGCACATAATGAGAGTGCCTTATGTGGCACACCTTTTTGGATAACTGATATTTTATTGAAAGATGATATAGTTTTGTTCAATAACTTGCATGTCACATATCCAGACACCAATGCCTATCGGATGTTATGACATTCGTCCACATTCACTTTATTTGATAAGCTTTTGGAATGTTTCAATTTCATTCATATGAATGACCAAATGAGTCCAAATGAATGCAACATTGTCATGTATTCTGGACAAGTAAAACACAACTAATATTATTACAATTTTGTCCACATTATATTTTTAAATAAAAATAATGCAAATTTGAGTTTAATTTATTTTTGGGTCATACCTGTTGCTCAACCGAGACCCAGTTACATGTATTTTTTTCCCATTAACTTCAGGGGTCCAGTCTAAACTAATTACTTTTTCTCTCAGCATTGAGAACATTTCAGAACACATTTATTTACATGTACACAACATCACCATAGTCCTTTCTTGGCCTTCAGTAGCTTTATGCCACACACTCAGCACTGAACCTCCTTCTCACAGTCCTCTTCTGCTGAAGTAAAATACATGATTTATTAACATATTTTATTAATATTTTAGCTAATGACTCATATGAATATGTGCCATGTACACATTCAAGGACTTCAAAATACAAACAGGGGAGAGCAAATCATGCAAACAAGGGTGTGTTGTCTCGTGTGTGAGCTGGGAAAGCCACACATGTCAAATATTTGACAGCGAAACAGAATGTCCGAGGTTGCAGTCGAATAGTCCAAAAATCAGCTCCTAACGTCTATCCCTATCGTCTATCCCTTGACCTCTGTGTGAGACGTCACGGGGTTAAGGGATAGTGGATAGGAGAATTCAAAAGGATTTAGGAGAAGAGACTGCGGTACTTTAGAGAATCCGACTGCACTTTTTTTTTTAACGAGGGACTACTGTAAACTCATCTAGAGACTCTGCACCGTGCTCTGATGCTGTTGTTTTATGCTTTATGAATGTGGACAACAGATAAACATTTTCTTCATGACCAAAGTTGGAATTGAAATAAAAAAGGAAAGTGAAACTTATGCTCGTCACCCTCTCCCTCCGGTCCACATTAATACAAATGATCCCAATACGTATTATTGTATGAAAAGATCTTAAAATCAATACAAATGTATTTATTATAAACGTTAGTCCTTAAAATCTATCACTGTGTATATCACCATTCAAACATATTTTAAAAGTTGAACAAACCCCACACAGCTCAGTAAAGACTGTGAAATGTTGACTTTATTTGATCATTTCAGTAAAAACTAACTTTCATATTTATCTTTTTGATTATAATACTGATGAACGTTCAAAACAAAGCACTTTGGCAAGTTACCGTTTTAAAAAGCTTAATAAGCACCGTAACTTTCATGATATAATTTCTCGGTGCTGTTGTGTGACGGCAAATGCTGCGGCTGCAAGGCATTGTGGGCCAGCATTTTCTCCTCTCCTTTCGTAAAGGGAGGTCCAGTGGTTCCTAAGCTAAAGGAGGTTATAAAAGAAGTTTGAAGTGTCTTGTTATCCTGTGTTTAAATTCCCCTGTCTCCCATGTGTTCTTCGTCAGTTCGTCTTGTCTCATAGGTCAGATCTATGCTCTTCTTGTTGTCAAGATATTTTGTTCCTCACTACGCGAGCGATTTTGTTTTGTTCTCTTTTTGTCATCTCATCCAGAGATTTGATAGTGTTTATTTTGTTCATCTATCTGAAAATAAAGTATCTTACAAATACTTTACCTCTGTCTCCTGGGTCGTGCAATTGGGTCCTATACCCTGAGTTCCTGAGTTCGTAACAAAAGTTGGAACAACGGTTTCAAATCAGCATCTCTTAGACAAACAATTACAATTAATAACTAAAATAAAACTCCAAACATCTTTAATTGTGCTACTTTTTTGTAAAGCTCTTTTAGTTTTAAACCTGATTTTTATAAGCTTCTTAGTTTTTGCAACAGTCTGTAAATATACACAACTTTATAATAAAATGCACACATTTACCATTTTCTAGACTAAACACAGGTATGATCCTAAGTTAAAAAAATATGAGGTTATCATGAGGTTGTTAACATCGCAATTTATCAGTAGATGTTTGCTGGAACTGTTTGTAAACAGCGTGTTTCCTGACGGACACACACAGCGTTGAGACCGATCAGGTAGAGACTGGTCTACAGTCAGCACCGATGCAGACTGGGGGTGTTTCTCAATCGCGAGTAAAGCTGCTTCAGAGCCACTATTTCAAGCATACTACGTCATCGAGTGCCGCCGAAGTACTGTTCCAATCTCCAGTATACTTGGAAATCTACCGAGCGGTACTCCGTTTGGAGAAATATCGAGTCTGCACATGAGTAGACTTCGCGGTCTTAAAATCCCCACAATGCTTTGCGCACGGACCAATTTCCCCAAATCTGTGGCGGAAGATGTAAGGCGGGGCCTCTCATATGACGCACACCTGCACACTTGCTAGCGTGTTCCACACTTCGTTTTCCGAATGCCAGGAAGTATTCTTGACTCGCTTCTGAAGCAAGATGCTCGGCAGACATGTGCTACCAAGCAAGCGTACTCGCGATTGAGAAACACCCTCGCTGTTTGATGTCTTGATAACCCACTCCTCCTCCACACTCGTTGGTTTGGAACAGCACTTAATAATGTGGTGGACCCTCCGCGCGAACGCGCAAACGGAGGGGTAGTGTGTAGGGATAGGGTGTAGGGGGCCGTTTGGGATTGGGCCGACATGTGTAATGGAGCTATAGACAGGCACCAAAATGATCAGTTGATAGTGATGCAAATTGGATCACTCATTTGTATTATTATATTTCCTGCTTGGCAATTTTTGCTTTTTCCCCTTCCAAAACAGGAAGCAGGCACCACAATGATCAGATACTGTAGCAAACAATGTTTCTTTTATGTAATTTAAAGCACTTAAAAAAATATTGCATTTATTTCTACAGCAGCATCTAGCATTTATTCATATTCTAAAACCTAAGTGAAGTTTAATTTTTAAATGTTATCTTTTATTTTACTTGATCTGGTTTTACAAAATCTAAGAGTATACCTTTTAGGTTAAATTATTCCTTTAAAAGAGCTTTATTATTAAATGTACATATGATATTACAACAGCATTTAGTTGTTACAGCTGGTGGATGTCAAGCACACTTAAACTACTTTACATTAGCCCACTGTTTGTTAGTTTAATCTAAATCACAGTAGCATTAGATACTCCAGCAGTTACATGAACTTTGTTGAGTAAGAAAAGACTACATTTCCCTTGCAAATCATTGAAGCATCTGGCTCCTGTTGCTATCGCAGTGCTAAGCCAGTGCTTATCTTGACCCCACCTCATTGGTCCCGACTGAAATATCTTGGCAATAATTGGATTGGATTTTAAACAACTTTGGTTAAGGCTTTCACAGTCCCCAGAGGATGGACCATTGCTGTAGATGTTCGTTATGTACTGCTCTTGTTTACATTGTTTTCTCCAATGGGATGTGACAGGTTGAAAGCATATATGCACATTCTTCCTCTGTTTCTCCTTTCAGCAAAATGCACACTTCCAATAACTTATCAGCTGTTAGTTACTTGACATCCACAGCCACCTCTTCTGCCCTGCAATAACCTAACTACCATCATCCCCCGCCCCCACGTGTTCTTCATTCAATTTATTAATATTACAGCTTCATTTCCCCATGCAGCCTTATTATAGTGTGCACCATTAGCATAGTTTCAAGGTTCAAGTTACATTACAAGCTCTTTAATTTTATAATAACAACAATTACAGAGAGCAGTCCCTCTAATCATGCTCAATAACATTTCATAAAACACCACACACACACACACACACACACACACACACACACACACACACACGCGCGCGCGCACACACACACACACGGACATTTTAGTTAACCGGACTTACTGTTGATGTGAAATCCGAAAACATTTTTTTAAATAAAATAATACTTTATTCCGAGTTTGCTTACTTTTCTGTTTGGAGGTCATCACATAACGTGCATTGTAATACACGGTTCGGCTGCATTAAATATTACATATCTGCCGTAGTTCTGTATTTATAGAGCCCTGATGAGAAGACTTCTGGACAAACAGGAAGCACTGCCGCCAAAACTGAAAACGTGACGTGGATCATAAATATATCAGCAATTAAACAACATCTTACATTTATTTTCACACAATACGTCTCCTTGCAGTATCAATACTAATTCGGCTGACTTTTATATTTGATCCAATTGGTAGATAGGCTGTATTTACACCATAACGGTGCACAGCTGATAGAAAGGCACATCTAGTGGTTAAAGCACGTTATTGAATTGTATTATTTTATTATTTTTCACAAAAATGAAACCATCAATAGCAGAAACAGTATTAACTGTAAAACACCCAAAAAAAAAGATCATTAGTGGTTTTGTTTTATATATATTTTAAGGATAAGAATAGCAATGTAACACTGTCTATGACACTTACTGTATAACACTGATTTGAAAAACATACAGAAAAAACTAATTCACTGCCCTTAATAAAGTATTTAAATATACATTTCAGGTGTGCTGTTTTGTTTAGATCATTGACATCTGGAGCTCTTTTAATGTCCTTTTTGATTATTGTTACACCAGGTCTTGTCAAAACCTTTATTCCATATTCAATATCCATTACTAAACAAAACAGCAATTCTACTCCACTACAATTCAGAGGTTAACCTGGTATTTTTACTCCACTACATTTATTTTAGTTACTTTGCAGATTCTGATTAATGATGTGAAATATAAACAACCCTTAAATCAGGCTTTAGTTACACCTGAGTAAAATTCAGGGAAAGGTGATTGTCAAGTGCCAACAATCAGGAGAGATATTTGATAGTTGCTGCTTGAGAAG